CTGGAGATGAGCAGGTTTTTACACAAACCCACCATACAAATTTGACTATATGTCCTGAAAAACAGCATGCCTGGATTGTCTGAAGACTCCAGTTTATGTATTGTTTTCTCTCAGATCTCTTAAGGAGAGATGTTGTAAGAATGACTTGGATGAAATGTCTGTTACTGATCCATTCCATTCTGTTCCATTCTTTTTAATGTCCTTATTGCTATGGTATCTCTGTATGACACTATAAGGACATTAGTTGCTGTCTGTCACGTGTGGTTCATTTGCTTTCTTTTACTCCCATATTCTTTCAGCCTGAGGAGTTTAGAAATGGTTTGATGGAAGTGTGTGGCAGGTCTTTGGAGACACAAGCGATTCAAAGCCAATCAATGCATCTATAAATCCTTGTAAAGCTCAGATCCTGGATACCTGGTTACTCTTTCATTATGCGTTGACCCAGCAAATGAGGCTGGGATATTCCTAAGACACTCTTCATTTTTCACTGTGCTGCATTCTGTGTAATTTCTCCATGGCATGTACGAAGGAAAAAATGTATCCTGTAAACACTGATCTACTTATTATTCTGTTTGTTTGGATAGCCTTAAAAATGGGCATTTATCTATTCTCTCAGACAAAGACGGGTTAGCCAGACATACACAAACGTGGTCATACAGAGACCATCTATGACGATCATTTCAAGAGTACTCCTCTCACCATTTCCTAAAACTGACTTTTACATCCCAAGGGAGACTGCAATTTAGTGTAACTACTTCAGGAGCACAGAGTTCTGCAAAGCCCTCCATGAAAAGCTACCATTCTTCAGGTATTAATGTTTGAGGGCAACTGTTTTGTTTTCTGGAGGATGGAAGGAGCAAACTGTAAGGACTTCAGGCAATATATATGTAATGACTGACAGCCGAAATATAGAGACATAAAGAAATGGATGTCAGGGCTAATGCAGTTCTGCACATCTCCATCACACAGTTCAGACATGGACATTTTTCTTTTTCAGCCTCTGTGTTTTAAAACAAACCGGATTGGGGCCATTGCTGCCTGTAGATTATGGCCCTCGAAGTGATAAACATGCTGTTCCATTGCTATTTGCCCCATGAGATAAACATTTCTGATGGATTTTTCTGACAAAGCTGAGAAACCTAATAATCGCAACGTCAGAAAAAAACTGAAAACTGATTCAGTTTGATCCCCAAAGGACAGGAGAGGGAAAACTGCAATAGGAGATACAGTTCTGTAAGACTGAACTTGTCAAAGCTTTTTTGACTGTTTTGAATAAGCATATCCGCTTGGTATTATAAATAAAGGCATCAGACAGTAATTTGCATGGATTAGGATTGTTAACGTTTATCAATTGCTGGGTTTTAAAGAACTCCCAAATTCTTGATAGGAGTATCTCTTTGTAGTGAAAGATTCATGGTGGGAGTGAAAAAAAAATCTGATGAATTTAAAGCTACAGATGAGAGAAAGCAAAGCCATCCAGATCTAAACTGAGATACCATTAGTGGTTCCCATAAATCAAATCATGTTTATAGCAGGGATACAGTTGAATTACCATCTGGACTTTTTAACCTCGACATTTATTTCCGAACCCTCCTCCAATATTGAAAGTAAACTTAACCCTTCCTTTCATCTTCAGGACTTTGACCCAGTGCCAGTTCTTATTTTGAAGGAATGATCTGATTTTTGATGCAGACAGAATGGCACACGTGGCTCGAGGTTGGAAAGACTGGGAGTTTCTTGCAGAAGACAAAGTCATAAAAGAAATAAAATACACTCAGTCTTAAATGAGATCAGCTGAATAGAGGGTCAGTGGGAATGAAGTCAGAGGGAGGATAAAGAAAGGAGGGTTCATTTTAATTCAGGTAGAGGACGCAGATGGGGTCCAAGGACAATGTAGCAAAACATATAATAGTCAAAGGAAACCTATATTCCCTCAAGATTGGCGGGATTATCAGGAGGGTAGATGGGTGATGAAGAGCTAGATCCTGTTTTCATTTGTGCTAATAACAATACTGTCATTGCCTCTAATAGTGCAGCCACCTACTTCAGTGCAAATGAGCACTTTAACCCCTTACTGACCAAAAAAAGTCAAGCTACTGTTACAGAAAAAAAAAAAAAAAAAACAACAACAACAACAAAAAAAAAAACTACAAAGATATTTGGATCTTGTCTTCTCTTTTTCCTTTTTTTTTTTGTTTTTCCTCTCTGTGTCTGAACTTCCTGATTCAGACAAGGAGCTGCCAAAGTAGTTAATAAAGGATATTGTGCCATTTCCAGCTCAAATTGAAAGGAGAAAATTTTCAGGAGAGACTGGCTCTGCTCTGCAAGACACTGGCCCCTTCTGCAGAGGTCGCTGGTCTGAGTGACCAAGAGGGCCAGGGTTTGCTCAGAGGCAAACAGGAGATATTTATGATTGCAGTTTGCCAGGTCACAGGTCCAGCATTTTTCTTTCTTCCTTCTATTTGGGCCCATAGGCAGCTTGGCACTGGGACTGCAGGACCTGGCCGGCAGTCTCTGGTTCTCCAGAGACTTCCCACATGAACATGTGCTTCTTGTGCATCTCTGCAACACAGGGAGAGGAGCATTTCTGTACATCACACAGCGTTTAAAGAATAACTGTATTAATTCTGAGGTTCTCCAGAGAAAGGTAACAGTTCTTACATAAATATACCCAGACAACATGAGGCATGCTAGTGAAACTGCACTGCATGCATGTACGGCTGTGATACATGCTTCTGGTGCTAAGAAAGGTGATTAGAGGGCCTTTAGTTGGCCAAGAGAGTCAGGAAGCTCATCCTGAAGTCATAGCATTTATCAAGGTGAGCCAACCTGGCCATCTTATCCTTGAATAAAGAACAAGATGCTTTTCTTTGAAGGCTAGCTTCCCTGAAGGAAAAATGTCTTCCCACTTTCCCTCCAAAGCTGTTTCCATAAAAGCGTTTGGTGTCATGCATTTCAATGTGAGCTGAAGGGTTTTACTAAGTCCTTATTAGAGACAACCTCATATTTCACACCCAGGCTGGTGCCAGGATCCTCTTAGTCTATTGGTGACATTACTGTCATTTCCTATCTCTCTCCTTCCTGAATTTACCTAACCCAAAGCTCCAGCCTTTTGTTGAAATGATTTTCTGCCTTCCGGCCCTGCGTGCCATGTGTCAGATTATGTGCAAAAGGTCGCAACCCACTTCCCCTGACTTTAGACACAGGATGAGGAAATGAAGAGGAGTGAAGTTACTGATTTCATTCTGGAGGTCACGGTGGGTCTTCTTGGGGTAGAAGTGGAGTCTGAAGAGCACACGTTGCCATTTGTTATCCATATTTTGTCAAACAAACAAAAAACCTCAGCAATTACTCATGCTGCTGAATCGGAAATACTTCTCAAAACAGCTGACAAATAGAACAGAAGGACAATAGGTGGACGGTGAGGAGAGATTATATATATACCCATATGTATATATGTAGAACAGATACAGACACCCAGTTCTGTTAGAAACAAAGTGAAGACATGCAGAGGGATCCTAGGATCATCTCTGAGGCACCCAAAGGGCAGGCAAGCTGCCTTGCTTGCTTGGTAATTCTCTTTTAGCATTGCACAGTCTAATTATGTGCTAACCCACATTCAAAAATTGTAACGTCAAAAGGGTAAGTGTCTGAAAGAGTGCCAGGAGAATGTTTTCCAGCACTAGGGAATCCCAAACTTTGCCCAGTACAGGACTGCACTGGCTCCCAGCCAGTAGCCTGAGGCCACACTGAAAGCACATGCAGAAGAAAACATCTTTGCCAACCTCCACTTCTATTAGAGGATAAATATACATATCCCCCTGTGTGCTGGTAGGACATGTTCTGAGTGGCCTTCTGGTGGGCAGAGACGGGACACTTCTGCCTGGAGCTGCTGAGGGCAGCCATCCCATGCAAAGGACCAGGAACCACCACAGATAGTGCAACGGGAAATCTACAACTGATGGTTTGGGGATCAGCAAGCATAGACCTTGGTTTCATGAGTGGGTTGGAGACAGTATTCTCCTCCCCCAGTGTCCAACAGCTACCTGACCCACTGTTTCATGCCCCTTGCACAATTCCAATAGTGGTTCAGGAATGCACATCCCAGTCCGTGTGCTCCAAATCTGCCTGTTTCCTCCCAGATCTGTTGAATTAATCCTGAACTGGAGAGGGAGCAAAAACAAAGAAAAAAGCAAACAAACATAAAGGCAAAAACCCCAAAGCACTTCCTTTCTGCAGGTTGTTGGTTGTACCTCAAGCTTTCTTTGGTTTATGTATGCATTCAGAGTAAGTCCTCTGAGGAGTATCCTGCAGTCATTTCTCAGCGAGTGTGAACAAACTCATTAACAGCTCCTTTACTGGAATGATAAGTTGTTTCTTAATGAAGGGAAAAATAAATACCCTCACTAACCCAGGCTCCATCACTAGAAGTCACACATCATTCTTAAAGACTCCTTATTTTCCACCAGAGACATTTGTGTACAGCCCTTAAACAAAATGAGAGAGCTTGCTTCTCCTTCTTAGACGCTCTTTCAGATACTTAAATTGCACAGCATTTGTAGATGCTTTTCAGAATTTTACCCCAGATATGAGCAACTTAGGTAAAACAAAATAAAAAATAAAAAATAAAATCTGAGTCTTCACCCATTTTAAGAAAGGAAAGTTTGTAGCACTTTAAACAAGGGACCAGGACCCCAGGGACTGAGGATCTATTCCAAGTGCTGTGATTGACCTGCTATGTAGTTTTACTTGTAGGGAAGTCACTTAAGCTCTTTGTGTTTCAATGTGCCCATTTGTGAAATGGAGATAATAATGCCAAGCTCACAAGGGGGCTGTAAAGGTTAATTAAATAGAGTTTTTAGGTGATTTTCCTTCTCTGGATGAAAAGTGTGACAGAAGTATTGTTTATTAATGGAGCCAGTGCAAAACTGATAGTACTGAAATTTTTCAGTACAGAAATACATGGAGATTTTTGTACGTATAAAAAATGACCACATAGCAACTTTTTTTTTCTCTTTTATTTATTTATTTATTTATTTCCTTTAGCACTGTCATTTATTCAAGGAAAATTGATCCTCCAAAATATGGGGCTGTTTTGCACTTGTTTCTCTCTTTTTCCTTGTAACTACATGATGATGTTAGTATAGGCAAGAAGAATGACTAGGCATCACCATAAGGACTGTGAAAAAAAATCAATTAAAATAATATTTTGGTCTCTTTAAAAGCCCACATGCTTCAGGACATAAAACCACTTCTAAATTTTGAATGTTAGGAGGAGGTACTGCAAGCCATTAGATTCACCTGGTTCTTGATGTCTTTATAGGGCTTGATGCTGGCCATTTTCAAATGCAGTTGTTTGGTTACTCTCATCCAGTCTCATATTTCTAACTCCGTGTTTCTCTAGAAAAGGAAATGATAATACACCCAGGAAGATCTTATCCTTGCAAGTTGTCAGACTTTACCGCAAACTGCACTGACCCAGCAGTGTGATTGCATGATTTGTTGCAGGTTGGCACAGCAGGGTTGGGTCAGACCCACACATGTGGGGAATTGGGATGTGCTCTGCATTCCCACCCTACTGTGTACGAATGCGGGAACCTATGTTAAGGCTGGTTCCAGCATTGAGCCATGTGCTTTGCAGAGACCAAATCTGCTCATGTCCCTCACTCAAGTCACTGGTGGGAATTTTCACTTTCATGCCACGCATGTGAACACAGTGGATTATTTTTATGTTTATTTTCATTACTCCTGGGGCCCTTGCATCACTATTCTGTAAAGGGATGCCCCAAGAAATTACAAGATAACAAGAGAAGAAATATAAATTCAGCTTCTCTGAAAGTTGCTTACACTGGAGCTTGAGTTTGGGCTGAAGATTTACATGCTTTCCCTCTCTCACTGAACAAGGTGACCTACCCCATAACCACAGAAATTCCAAATGAATAAGAGCTATTAAGTTATCTTGTCCACCTGCCCCCTCCAGCACAAGATTGAGAGGGTGACATGGTTTCTGGCAGTGGGCTGCGCACAACCCATGACAGAGGCTGCACACAAGTATGAATCATGTTGTACTTAAAAGGCCCAAATGAGTTTACTCTGGGCTCTTCACCCTTCGTTGTAGCTGGTCAGAATGGGGCCCTGGAACTTAAACAGGTTGACAAAGCAGAGATTGAATCAATCCCTGAAAACAATAGTTTTAACCCTGTGAACTCCTCAGATGCTCTATTGGCTGGTAGTGCTTCTTGTGCTGTTTTTGCCACGGAGAGATTCCCCTAGGATGCTGCTTTTAAGAAAAACATATATAAAAACTATCCACTGTGTAAATCTAACATCAGTTAGTGGTTTCCCAAGTACAGCTTGTGGGATGGCTGCCCGAGTCTCAGATGAGAAAACAGTTCACTGCAGATTGGAGAGCCTTGTAAATGGAAAAGAGAACCTGGAAAGACAAAGAAAAATGAGTCTTTTCAATAGCATCGAGGGAAATAGCATCTTGATATTTTTCTAGCTATGTAAAGGCTACTCTCACCCTCCTCCATCTCTTTCCAACTACTATGTGCCTGCATACCTGGAAATATTCCCTTTGATATTAAAGACTGAGATTTGTTCAGACTGCTCCAAACAAACAAACAAACAAACAAACTTGACATGAGCTTTGGGCTCTCTGACAAACTCTTAAAAAGGTAATTCATGTGTAAACAGTCTCTGGAAGTTACCCACTGATGGCAACAGGAATTGAACCAAAATGTAGTAAACCCCACCACGACTATCATGGTGGACCCTTGCCTCAGACATCTGCTTGTTCTCTGTAGGTCAGGGAGAAATTAAGTTCCTCTACCAAGCCTGGGAAGCTAACAGGTATGAGCAGCCCTGGACCAAAGCAGAAAGAGATTTTCAAAGTCAAGCCCCTAGCTAACATCTTTTCTCTCTCATTTTAACTGAAATTATCTCATCTGATGACAGTGCCTGCAGCAATGTCACTGGCAGTGTAAGGAGGAGGACAGCACCTCACCTGGCCCCAGTTTTCTATGAATTCATCTCTAAGAAAGACTGCAGCATCTTTACAGTTTCCTCTCTGGTGTCATGGACTTTCCCCTACACATTTCCCTCCTCAGGAGTCCAGATCTCATTTTTCCAGACCAGTAGGCTTAGGCCTGCATTCAAAGAGGATCAAACATCAGCAATTTTAAGATCAGAATTTGGGAGTCACTGACCATGGCAGAATTGTTGCAAGAGTTGTGCTGGCCTTGTTGCACGGGTACCATCTGGGGGGTAAAACTCCTTAGTGTACACTGTGTAAATCTGCTTGTTCAGGGGGTGTTTTGAGAAAAAGATTCACAAATATCCTATCCATTGGGAGCACCCTAAAATGTCCCTCATTGCTTTCTCATACACTAGCCAGAAGCGTGACTTTATTGAGATTATTTGTATTGAAGATGTCCACTTTTTCTTGGGCTGTCAGTGACAAATACTCATGTACAGTTTGAGAAAATGCCTAGCTTCACTCAATATTTGTCCCCAGAAATATCTTCAGTAACAATTATTGGCTGATGCTTCTGAAATCTTTGCCTAAAGATCTTTGCCTAATCTGAATGTTGCTGGATCAGGATTTCACATATGATTCCTGAGCATTCATCTTTTATCTCTAGTTCTTAAACAAAATGTGTATTGAAAATTTCCACGGTGAATATCACTGTCCTTAGAGATAAGCAACTGTACTTCAGTTGTGCCAATGACACTCACTGGCTTCACTGAGTGTTAAGTGATTGCTGTGGGAGGAAAAAATGCTGATAAAAATCACAACCAACAAGTCTGCTGCATTTACTTGAGTTATGGAGAGTGACAGAGACCTAAGCAGTTTGCACAGGTGAGGTCAAAATTTTGGCTGCCTTGCACATATGTTAGGACATGTGGGTGCATGTAGATATGTATTACTGTGAACATCTTCTGTGCTTCTAAAGAGAAGTTTATAGAGTTGCTGACATGATTTGCTCTAAGCTGTGATCTGCAGAGTGTCAGCTGGGAGACCATTTTCTTTTGGAAATGAAACAGAACAAAATAAATGCATTTGGTCGTTTCACTAAATTCTGAGATGTAAAACAGGTTTCCCCAGCAAAGTATGAGAAGCTGTGCTTATTCCAGCAGCAAAGACTTAACTAAAATACCTATCAGTCTTAGTGGGGTTTGAGCACAGTGCTTATTAATTTAAATTTACATATCTCCCATCGAAATGGAGGGGGGGGTTACAAAGTGATCTGAATTAACATGAGCTGACAGTTGCTGTGCTTACAGACCTTCAATGCGCTGTGTACAAGGGAAATAGTTTCCTTACCAGTCTTTGACATTCTCTGTTCAGAAGATTTTTTATTTTAACCCCAGTCCTAATTGCCCTTCAGTATCAAAATTAATTGTGTTTTCTGCTAAAAGGCCAGTGCAGTTTAAGGTTACTCCAGGGTCCCAGCAGCCGATGCATCTTCTGTAAATGGCTTGATTGCCGTCTGTGGAGAGGAGTGCTGGGAGAGATTTGCTTGACCGAGGCTATACATTACAGTCCAATTAGTGTGAAGATCACTACATGAGTCTTTAACTTTATCTAGTAACTGTCGGCATCTCTAATGCTGAGAGCAGGGTGAGGAAGAGGGATGCAGAGCCCACCTGGGCAGCCATGCAGGGGCCGTGCGGCTTGTTGGCTCCCCTCCAGCCACCTCACAGGCAGCAGAGGGAGCAGTCAGAGAATGAAAATACCCAGTGAGCTGCACTTTTCCTCTGAGAAATACTGAGACAGATGTCCCTTTTTTCTCCTTTACTTCTTCACTGTTCTACTGAGATATTATAGTATCATTTTGTTTTTGTTTTGTTTTGTGTTTTTTTTGTTTATTTGTTTGTTTTTCTTTGTTGTTGGTGGTGGTGGTGTGTTTTTTGTTTGTTTGGGTTTGTTTTTTTCTATTTTTCTTTTTGGAACTCTGCTGATCATAAGTATGGACTCATTTAATCTAACCCAAGGCTATAGACTGAAGAGCATGGGAATCTGCTAGGCCTGGGTCCTCTGAGCTAAGGGAGAAAGATGAACACATCCAGAAAATGAATGAAATTCTCATGATGAAATTCAGAACTGGTTCTCACCTGGTATTGTCCCTCTGTCATACAGCCAGGACTCCAGGCTCAGATGCTTCATTTAAGTACCTCAAAGTGAGCAAGAGTTAGATCTTTCACTGGTCTTTGCAAGATCTCAGAAGTCCCTTCATGATTCATAGGAAAAATATAACTCCCAAGCAGAAAAAAATAATTCCAGACAGAAATGCACTCCATAGATCATAGAGTAGATCTAGGAGACAAGTAGTACAAGTAATCCCCTATAGAATAGAAATTACTCTCTTTTTGATCTGCAGGGATGAAGACAGGCTGTGATTTACAAGTATAATAATAACAGTGAATGGTCATCAACTGAAAACATCTCAGTCTAGTGTTGAAGGGATAGTGGCCTTATAGCCCACATCTTGTGCAAGCACCAATATATAAATGTCCTCAAAAATTAGTGTAAAGTATTTCATTGCTACAGTTATGTTCATACAAGTTTACTGCATCATTTACATAATCACAGTCTCTGTATTGCTGTCAATGGTTATTACAACTTTTGTGTTGAAACTCCAGGTTCTGCCTTATCAGCTAGAGTACAGAAGCCTCAAACATGTGGAATTGATTTTCAGTTGGTCTGTGCCCCAAGTTATTAGGCTTCTTATCTGAAGTATATAGGTTTCGTGTCTTCCAAAATGTCTTCTAATAGTAGCTGGAACAACAAGTATTAAACAAGATTATTAAGAAATGTTGAAAAAAGTTTGAAAGCTCATGAATGTAAAGTCCCTGACATTTTTCACATCTCCACCCTTTATTTTTCAGCTAATTTTAATGCTTAATGTCTTCATTTCTGAGTCAGTCTCCAAACCAGGAAATGAAGAGGCAGCTGCAAAAGTGGGAAAAACATGGGGAGCAAAACTTGTTATTTGACACCATCTCACAGAAGTTCCAAAACAGTGAACTTTCTGTAACAACTCCACTTCTCATTACAATCTCATTTGACACTGAGGCAATCACGATTAAAACCAAATAAAAATAAAAATAAAAATCTACCTCATTATTTCAGCATTTGGGAGGTTACATGGCACCATAATATGCTAGACAGCACACCCCTTCTTTAATTTATTTTTTGCTTTGTGAATATTAGTGACATTAATGCAGTTATGGTACCCATCACACTAATTCTCTGCTGTTCTCATTTCTGTGCTCCTTCAGTAACTGTGACTCAGCCTTAGACCCCAACCGTTATTTTCAGTTCTGTTTTACCTGCTGGATTCACATACTTAGGATTCCACACACCACCATTTTTTCTACATTGTTCACTACAGATCTTGCATCAATGTGCAGTGTCGTGTTTGCCCAACTTGGAGATAAGGGAGTCTCTCTCTCAGAGGTATTTAAGATTAAATAAAGCTGGTAATGGGATGAGAGCTGAGCCTCATTCTCTGCTCTTCTAAAGGTCCTTTAAAATGACAGCAAATTGAAACTCATCTTCAGCTGGTTGAAGCAGCACAACCATACCAAACAACATTTCTTTTTCCAATGGTAACCAAAATTGCAGATGGCTCAAAGTAGAAGCAACTAACACTTACCTTACCACAACATATTAAATTAAATATCCAAAGAGAAACAATAGTGTATAACATAATTATTCAATAGGGTTCACCACCACATAATAACTTAAAAGAAACAATTCTCTGGTAAACAGGTAACAAAAATAATGGTCAGACTATCTCACCTTTCAGATATATATACCACAGGCTAAGCCCTGTGGTACCCAAATTAGCAGCAGGTAAATTCCTTCTATTTGGGATTCCCATCAATACTTCCAAGGGCCAAGTTGAGCAGGAATGTAAGGCTGTGAAAGAAACTTTCCTGTCTGTAAGGTCCTTGTCAATGGTTAACAAAATTGATTTCTTGGTCCTTTTTGTAAAATCCTGACCTAGCTTCTTTCAGATGCTGGAAGCTGGAACTTGGGGCCTTTAGTCTGATCTCCTCTGCAATGAGAACACAAATAATAATTAAAAATTGCTATAATATACCACTTATTTGTGGCTGCAGCATTTCCAACCTTTCTGTCTTAACAGCTTGGAAGGAATACAAAGGAAAATTCTGCATGTCAGAAAGTTATGAAACAAAGGCAAAGTGGAGAGAAGATGGAAATATAAAGTCAAAATGAAACCCTCCATCTTTCTGTCAAACTGAAACAATAAATAATAATGGCATCTTGCATTTATATAGTGGCTTTCATCCAGAAAGCCTGGAAAGCTCTTTGGAAACTTTACAAACTACTGTGGAGGAATAGGAATGATTTCATACACTGATCTATTGAAGGCTCCCACTTCTGTAAACAGTTACAGTCTACAGCAACATTACACCTCAGACTGGGACAGGTAAAGACTGATCCTGAGAGATATTAGAAAGATCTGTAGTTAATCAGAGTAAATCTTCAAAGTCCTTTGGGAGTTTACACTGCTGACAGTTATTGTTTCTCATGATCAGGCACTTGGTAAAGAAATAAAATTACAAATAGATGAAATAGCTGCTGATCTTAGTCAGTGAAGTGTGGCAATAGCAGCCAAAGATTTACAATTAAAATCCCTAGTAATTCATCAATCTCAGTAAACATACGAGTGAACATACTCCTTTGAAAAAGTCAGATCTTCTGTCCAGACATTTGGCATTCTTATTATATGCATGACATCCTTTCTTTCTTATCTTAAACCATGTGCATATAGAAAAAGGTGTTTTCAGAGGTGGTTGAAAGCAATGCAAACCTCCCAGTTTTATGTCTCTGCTACATTCAGTTGTCAGGCAAAGCACAGAAGAAAAAAAAAAAAAAAAAAAAGGCAACAAAGAATGAATAATTAGTAATCTAAGGAAACTTGATTAAGCTTTCCATTTCTATCATATGTTTCACTTAAAAAAAAAAATCACACCAGATACTTGAGAAGTCTGTTGGATATTAAGAGATGGCACAGATTTCCAGATCCTCAATGGAGGAAAATTCTTTCTGATTTTCATGGTCTTTTTGTTCCAAGAAGGATCACATAATTTTGGCTCTTGAATAATATTTCTAAAACTAACAGTCGGCTCAGGAATTCCCTGTGTGTGAATGTATTTCTCTATCAGCTGGCGCACTGTATTTCTGCACTGGAGTACCACATTTAAAGCATCCATCCAGCACCTCCTAATGGTGGCAGCAGAAGGAAAATGAATGAAACTGAGAAAGAAACAGCTCCAGGAACAAGAGAATTAAGAAATTGCCTTCAGATTTATGTCTCTTCATTTTATTGGCCTCTGGCAGGGTATTTTGATAGGATCACATATAACTAGGGTAAATAAGCCTCTGACTCAGCCTGGCAACCAAGTCATGAAATTTCAAGAAATTCTCCCTTGTGCCAAATTTAGTTGAATTTGGCTAGTTTGGAAGCTGTTGCATGGAGGCACATGCAGAGATGGACACATAAAACAAATAAGCACTTTTTCCTACTGTTGCAGGAAACAAAGCTAAAAATTGAGCTTCAAAGCAGAGAGGTCTAAGCAACCCTCAGAACCTGTTTTGACATCCTGGCTGTTTTAGAAAGCTGCTTCACCTGCTATTGCAAGATGTGACAATATGGCATTTGAATAAGACTCATATTGCACACCAGTACAGCACACACATGCATAATGTACATGTACTATTTATAAATACATGTATATAAAATTCTCTTTTCCATTTATAAATTTTCTTGTCTCTGAAAACTTTCAGCCTCACTCCTGGTGCCCCGCTCTAGAAGACTCTGTAATCTCCAGGATAGTGTCCACACTAGAGCCTGGGAAGTTCTCCATCTTTCTTCCGATCCCTATCCACGCCAATCCACCTGCTCTGAGATCAAACTTTGTGGCAGCCAGCCAACTGGTACGTAGCATTGCTGTAGCTAGTGAATGGAACCACAGTACTTGCTTTCACACCTTTTACACCCAAACTTTGCTTTGGCCAATATATTTAAGGGAAGATGGGGAAAAGGGAAAAGGAGAGGGCACGTGTACTGCCTTCACCAGTGACTGGAGCAATGATTAAACATGTTCTAGATTTACTTATCAGCCTCTCCTATCAACACTTGGCAAAATTGCAGCATAAATACAATGCAGCCCAAGAAAGAAATGTTTGTATCCTGCCATTGAACTAAGAGCAGCTCTCCAGAGTTCAGCTAAGAAATGGCTAACTCCTCTGTGGGGAGATTTAGCACCAAAAGAAGGTGAGACAGGGGCAGTGTGTCTGCATTTATTTAAAATGTTTTCAATACTCTGTGAGAATAGGAAATTGTGGAAAGGAGTCTGTAGGCTTCTCAGTATCAGTGTTGTTTTAGGCTTTTAGGAATGTATTTCTATGCCCTCTAAGGTTTTCTTAAGTCACAGTGGTCTCCTGAGAGAGGAAATTTTACATCAGTGCTGTAAGTCTCTGGACCAGTAATTCTCATTTACATTAGAATGTAAGCTCCAGAAAAGCCTCACAGCTATATTTTGTTGCAAATATGAGCCATTTAGCCACCCTGATAGACACCCTAGATTTTGCACATTAAATGATGGGATCTCCAGCTTCACAAAAATATCATTCTCCCTAAGCAGTAGAAGCAATGTTGGATATTAAGAAAAAAACTCTTTTGTTCAGGTGAGTAGTTTAAGGTTATGTTAAATTATTTTGAATTTCTCACTGATGGTCTTTCAGGTGATTACTGTGGGAGCTCAGAGAGTTCATTATGCAAAAGCTAGTTTGCTGGTGGAATATAGGTTGATATGTTCAAAGGCACACAGGGTTGTGGTAGGACAAACTTTTGTTGAAAGTGAGTGAAAGTCGGGTGCTTACTTCTTCACGCTTTCAAAATCTCCTGCTGCTTTTACTTCTTGAACATGAGAGGGAGGTTGGTCAGAGCAGCTATTACAGGCTACTGATAACGAATGCTTCAAATCACTGATGACTGGGAGCCCCCAAGAGTTCTTGTCCCACATTTTGCCTAGCAATTAAATAGGCCGAGTTATAATTTGCGCCCCATATTCTCTGTGTCGAAGGCAGTAGGCTTCTTCATTTTTAGCCTAACTCTTCTGTCACCTTCGCCAGTTTTACATTATTTGTGTTAACTCTGTGGCCTAGAGGTGGGAGGGAGAGGGGAATTATTCCTAATTTACTGAAAGTGAGAGAAGAATCAGTCACTTCTTTCTTTAAATTTTTGTGGAGGATTGTTAATCAAAGTTAAAACAAATCTGTGTTCCAACGCAGAGGTGGGCGAAGAAATGTGTGCCTAACACATATGCACTTTGGGGCTCCTGCAGAAGGAAACAGAGTTCTGGAAAGTGTTGTGAGAAAAACATTAAAGACACCAGACTGGATGCAATGCTGCTGACTGGAAATGAAGCCTCGGACAAAATCCAACTATGTTCGAACCTGTTGGAAGAAGTGCTTTTTATTCTCTGTCCTGGGATGAGCAACATAAATTATCTCCCTTTCTTATTTGCCTCACATGGAGGAGAGCCTGGCATGGAGTCGGACAATGACTTAAAGTAGGAGCTGGGCAGGGAATACATCAGGTATTCGACCTGCAGGCCTGTGAAATGCAGTGTCATCATAACCCAAAGGGCGTATCATTAGTCACTGAAGGAAGGAAGTGCAAGCATGCCTAGAGAAATCAATAGAAGGTCCTTGTCTAGTAACACAAAAAGAACAGCACCAATGTTTATGTCTTTGCCCTTCACATACTTTGCTCTTCCTTCCTCTCCAGTCACCTTTTTGCTTTATCCAGAATTTCATTTTCCTGATTCCTGACTATAAACGGACGGACATCTTAACCACGACTCAGGCTGCAATCCAGTCTTTTCTCAGAAATAAATATCCATCAGGCCCAATGTTTCTGTATGGTGGTTATCTGATTTGGCTCCTGCTAACTAAAAACATATGCAACTGGTTATCTCCATCAACACAGTTTAATTCAGCTCTGGTCCGTATTAGTGTGATTTCTGCAACTGATGTCTCTTACTGCCACGGGTGAACTGTGACTGTTAAAATCATGTTTAAATATGAAGATCAAACAAATGGTCCAGAGGTTTCTTGCATCTAAAGATTCATTAAGAATACAAAAATACTTTGCCATGTTTTAATTTAACATAGTAGTTCTTCCCCAAAATATCATGCTGTAGATAAATGAGGAACCATATTAATATAAGATTTCAGAGTTTTGCTGGAATATGGGATTGTCTTCCAAAACTGTCAAAACTTCTTCTATTTTTGTAGCCTACACTCGACCTGTTTTTTATTCACTGTTTGTCCCTCAGTTTACCCATCCATGAAATGAGCAAAATAGTAGTAATGTACAGACAAGGGAAGCTACAAAGCACTACTCATTACTCTCAGGAAAATGCTTTGAAATTATTCAGCTCTATTCATGGCAAAATAAAAAGGAATTAACAAAATATGTTCAGGCAATGCACATTTGTTGGTTTCCAGGAGAAAACTTTGAAGAATTATGAATAATATGGTTTGTGGTGACTGTTTGTTCTAACAATCCTGTTTTGTACCTTACAAAAAAATAAATAAATCTTTTTGTGCTCAGTTTGACCGTTCCATGCACTGGCCCTGGTTTGTTTCCATTCTGGCTCTTGACAAGAGTGCAAAATACACATCAAGGACAAGAATAACTTTTTAGACTGTGATAACATTTGTATTATTAGAAGAGGTTGGGGTGTGCCTGGGAGGGCAGGAGGTAAATCTGCTGAACAGTCTAAAAGCTTTATTTATGGAAATGTTCTTTTTTTTTTTTTTTTTTCTTCTTCTTTTAAGAACAAAGAAGAAATAATACTGCTAATATCATAATAATCTCTGAGATACCAAATCAGCCAAGTTGTGCCTGTGCATACACATTCATACACACTCCAGAAAAGGTTTATCTTAGTATATCAAGCTCAGACCCTGGATCAATTGTCCAGATAAAGCAAATCAGCATAAGTCTATGAAAATCAA